TCTGCCAGACTAGCCAAAATGCCTGTACATGGTAATAAAACCTGCTACTAGATCCAGCCGATCACTTTAAAATCAAAAATGACGAAAATCAAAAATCAAAATGAACGATTGCAGAAAAATCGTCAGTGTAGCTGCGCCAATTGTCAATTTTTAAGTCGCTTAGGCTCGGTACATTTATGTTTCACATTTTCCTCGCTTGCTGTTTTACAGTTTCCACAAACTACTGCTACATAATATGCCATTAAATAACTCTGCTCATAATGCTGTAATCGAATGAGATTTAATGTTGTAAACGCCCTCTGTTATAGGAATTACGAACGATGATCTTTCTAAGTGGTATATCGTTTCATTCGAAGCTCATCGATTGTATCAATAGTACAGTCTGTTTTCAAGGGCATATTGGGAATAAAGAGATAGGAACAAGGACGCAGTCTGAAATATGACGGCCAACTATATAAGTCTAATACTTCATGCTAAACGGTTCATGACTATATTTTTGCAGTTTTCTCTGAATGTTTTACTGATATATAAATATATACTATATATATAAATACTATATATATATATATGTGCGTGTGTGTGTGTGTGTGTGTGTGTGTGTGTGTGTGTGTGTGTGTGTGTGTGTGTGCGAGCGCGCGGCAGCCGCCCGCGCAGCGCTGTGCGCGTGGCGTGCGTGCGTATGTGTGCGCTTTATAAAAAACATTAGTCAATAAGTCACCTCTCCCACACCCTGTCATAAATACGGGTTCTGAAGGTCGAAATAGCTGAACGAGGGGTAAATATCTGAGGAAGATGAAAGATCGTGTAGCCATTTTACACCAAACATGATAGAAGACGATGCCGCCGAAATGCGACGTGTCTCTGCTCACACAAGTCAGTATAGGAAGGATGACCAGCGCTCAGGGGTGGGTTTAACTTTAACAAGCTTTAATCTTTATTACCGTCCGCAAAAGGGGTTGGGCAGGAGATTATGTTTTTTCTCCACGGCGTGTGTTTGACTGTTTGTGTTTTGTGGTTGTTTGTGGGTTTGTGTACAGTCTAACTGAAAAAGTTATGGACGGATGTCATAAAATTTGGCCTAACTTAGAATTCATGAGATTTTTGGTGGTGACCCGGATCCAAGTTAATTAAATTAATTCAATTTTTAGATAGGTCAGAAATGGGGTTAGACTAGAATTGATTACAATTTTGGTTTGGTGATCCGGATCGCAATTAATTATTACTAATTATTAATTAATAAATTTCCAGGATTAGGTCAGAAATGGGTAACTTAAGAATTTAAATTACATTTGGTGTGATCCCCGATCCAATTAATTATTTAATTATTAATTAATTAATTAATTAAATTGTTCACTTAATTAATTATTATTATTATAAAATTTTTCACAGTGACAGAATTAAGGCTGGCCTTGCGGAGGTCTGTGCTCTCCGAAGTGCTCTAGTTTTGTAACCCTTGAAGTAATCGGTAATGTAAGCAAAGGATGGCGACAAGGTATGTAATCAAGTGGTGAAAACGTTCAATTCTGTGGTATAATTTCTGTTCAGGAAAGCCATAAACCGGCGTATTACCATCATCATCATGCATCATACATCAATCATCATCATCATCATTCATCATGCATCATGCATCATGCACAGCCACTACTCACAACAACAATACAAGCAACAGCGAGAAAACAAATAATAATAATAATAATAGTAATAATAATAAATACGCAATAAAATAATAATATATAAAGCCACGTAATCGAGCACGTGACTACATCTAAGTAATCTTTGTTTGCGTCAATTTGCAGCATGCAAAGATATTTTAGTCCGCAGGAAAGACCATGTTGAAATTGTAAAATATATGTGAAATGAATTTAGTATAATATATAGTATTTCACAGTTATCTTTTGTGCAATACATATTGTTAGTTGGTATCATTTTTAAGAATATATCTATTATGCGCATCTATAAAAAAATTCCAAGCCAATGATTCAGTTGCAATTCTTGAGAATATATTCCGTATTTGCATGTTAGTCTAATCAGCTGGGGGGAAGTCCTGTGTGGCATTTATATGTCCGCCGGGCAGTTTATTGACGCTTGATTCATGTAGGGGACACCCCTGGGAGTAAAAAAAAACATTGGGTAGACATTCTGAATCATGAAGGATAGGTGAATTCAGATGGCGTTCAAGATGGCTCGTCAATTTTAAAATTTGGGTTAAATTGGACCTATAAGCTGCGCGCACTTATTTATGATAGGAGGTTGATTTTGGTGTCCTTATCCCTATGTTTCATGGTGGGCCTATCATTAAAAACTGATACGCCGTAATCGAAAAAATGCATTGCATCAATTGTTAAATGCTAAGATGGCGCGCCGAAAGAGACACCTTATCATTATAAAACTGCTATAACTTCTTCGCAGACGTTATGATAGAAGGGTAATTTCCGTGTCTATCCCTATGTTTTAGGGGTCAGGTTAATCGCACTGAGACTATACCGAATTAAAAACAGCAACTGCATCACCATCAAAGGCTAAAGATGCCCACCAATATACTGATCGTCATTTATTGACAACTTTTCACATATCGGGCTCTAATACTAGCAGCATTTTTTACAGTATAAACATGATATTTATTGTAAGGTAACTTTAATACTGATCACTGTGTCCTAGGATACGGCAACTTGGGTTCCTGCAGGTCATTTGACTTGTTGCGGTCTGGTCATTTGCAAATTCGCACACTTGGCAGGCATTTTGTTGACACACGCAGCTATTGCTGTAGAACACTTTCACGACAGGAACACACAACTGCAGACATCGTCCGGCATAAAGTAGATGGAACCTACCTGAGCAAGCTAAGCTCATCTGATATTCGGAATCCACAGTCTGTTAGTTCCAAAGAGTAAGGCACTGCAAAGCAGTTCATCTGACTATTAGGTGGGTAGTATAAGGCTCTGAGAAATGTCCTGTAGCTGCCGTGGCTAGTCGTGGGCAAGTCCCAGAGCGGTCACAGACTTGCAGTGGGGGGTAATAGACTATGTCGTAATTCGTCATAATTTTTGTATTAGTATGGTCACATGTTTCACGACGGCTGTAGCCAGATATAGTTCCGATTCAGCTTAGACACAAATTGTCGCAGAGTTTGCCTCGGCGAAGTCGCTTGAGGTGTGGCTTATTGGTTCGTTTTGAGCGCTGCCAATTTGGTGCCGAATTTCTGTGATGTCACAATCCAGATCAACGCATGAACGGCCGGCAGTAACATCACATAATTCAAGCCCACTGCTTGCTGCCAATACATGTACTGGGATGTAGCATGATACTGTCGGCTCTACACCTGCTCTCATCCACAGTTCAACCATACCAATTGCGTTTTAAGATGCTGGCTGAAATGTAACAACAGCACCAACACTATCAAGCGTCATTTGAACAGGCATAGCAAAAATTCTTTTGACACCAATTCCTGATGGCCATGCAAAACATGGGGTGCATGATTCGAAAATCTGCTTCTTCGCAGAGTAGGAATCGGTTCATTTGTATTCGATTTGTTCCATTCCCGAATGACTGACGCTTTGTCTCGTAGACACTGTGGGCTCAGACCTTCAATTTGGCTAAGCTACATTTCCACACGTAAGTGCCGTCTTGTCGGGGGTACCGGAGAGGGTCTAAGCCAACTCGAAGGCAGGGACTCGCGTGTAGGATATTGGTCAATGCAGAACCTAGTTCAGCAGTTGCCTCTAGTTCCTAAGCTTATTGCCGCTGGTGCCCAGAAGCTTGTCCATTTCCTTGGGCAGTTTAAGTCTCAGGATTAAGATTACTGTACCTCGATCGGTGGTCCTCTGTGTGCGCTGCCGTTGTCGTTCACCTGTCCCTTCAGCAGATCCTTCGATGGTAAGGAATGCGAAACGAAAGTCGATAGCGGCTGGCATTGACGGCTCAAGGCCAAATGACGGTTTTCAAATGAAATTCCTCTACAGAAATCTCACAATGTTCTGCGAATGACGACGTTTAATCTTCTCAGCAATTGCCTAGACATTAACA